TTTTCGCGCTTTGTGGAGCTCTGAGGCTTGCGGAGCGCTGTTGGTGGCTCTCCGCGGTGAGCTAGGGCAGAGCCCTGGGAGCTGGTACGGCGCATGGAGACGAGGAGGGTAGCGCAGCTCCTCTGTGGGTGCTGTGCCAGCGCTGGGATGTTATTGCTCCAAAGAAAGAGACGCCCCGCATGCCCCATCTTTACATGGGGTTGGCACACTTGGCAGTAAGCCAGTGATAACTTTTGCTGAAACTCTGAGAATTGCTAAATTAAATACCAGCTTTTGAACTTGTCCAGCAGAAGAATCCCCTGCACTCTATAGAGCCTCTATGTTTGCAAGCCAGAGAAGCCTGGTGTGATTTCTGACATTGTACAACCAAAGAAAGTTACCTAATGACTTTTTCATCAAGCACAAAATGTCTTTTCAAGGTAAAACGTATCTTCTAGAGACAGACTTGGCTTGAGGTTTTGGGCAGTGGAGAATCCACTGCATCCCTGGCTGAGTTATTTTAACAGGTGAAAAGGCTGTAGGCAGATACTCGCATCCTGAGCCAGGGGAGATGTAGAGGATGGTGCAGCCTCCTGCCTTCTGTCACTTCCTCACTGGCAGTTACCAACCCAACAATCCCGTGGTTCCCGTGAGTGTTCCTTCATCAGCTTTGGGCAAAACCCGCCAGGTTCTGGTGAAATGAGCAGAACTGGCTCAGCTGCCTGCTGCCTGAAGCGGGGCAGGGAGCACGCGCAGGCTGGTGCTCCACCAAGCGTGGGGCAGTCATTTCTGGTTCGGGGCTGTGACAAAGACCTGCGGGTGGCAGCTTCTGTAGCTTCCACAGCTGCCTGTGGAGCTGCTGGTGAGCCTTCATCTTCCATTTTGCCCCTTGCTTCACATACTCTTGATGCTTGCAGAGATTTGGGATCGATTGAATCTGCAGGAGTTGTGAGCCCAGGGCAGGCTGTGGTGCTGCAGCTGCGCTTTAGTGACGGGCTGATGTCAGGGCATCTTCCTCACTCGGGCACGACCTCCTGCGTATTGAACTGCTGCCTGCTGCTTCTTGGCCATAGGGTTAACTCTGGGAAAGCTGCTGCAAAGGCCTGTTTCAGGGAGAAGTTGCTCTGTTTTAAATGGTCTCACTGCTTTTGTGCTGTAAAATGCTTAAAACAGCGTAAAAGCTGCCTGTGCCCAGGTAACGCAGGTTTCTGCGAAGGCTTTCGGTGACCAGGGCGATGCCGAGGCGTGAGCGGGGTGAGCTATGCGTTGGCTAGGCAGGGTGTGACCATGGAGTGCAGAGCTGATGGCTGCGCAAATACAGAATGAATATGGTAGCAGAGAAGGGAATGCAGCATGTTTTAGTCTGTGGGGACAAAAAGCAAAGCCTGGCAGCCGCGTTCGTGTCATTTGAGCTGCTTCTGAGGAGAGATGAGATCTGTTTGCACCACAGCTGCTCTTTTCCCTTTCCCGTGGGTAGGAAGAATCATTCAGCAGATTCTGTTTCTCTCCCTCTTTTTTTCATGTGAAAGCAGCAAACCCAAGCCTCCAGGGAACTTGTACAACTGTTTCTGAATTCGTCATGTTTCCTGCTACGTGGCTGTGAAAAGCAAATCCTCCGTCTCTCACCACAGGGCTTTGCAAAGCCCAGGCAAAGATGGGGCGATGCCTCAGCGGGGGGTTTCATTTCCAGACAACGGCAAGAGCATCGGCGTGGTTTGGGATGCATAATTGATGGCTCGCATGTCTCGGGGATTCCTTGCGCGTGATCGACCGTGCTGGGGCTGTACGTGGAAGCAGGCGTGTATATAATTTGTGTTTATCCAGGCTGATAGCCACAGGAATTTTAGTGGGTTGGAGACCTCCAGAGCACGTAGCTGCTTCACTCCCGGGCAGAGGCCTGGCCGCTCGCTGTGCACGCTTGTTAGGACGGTGCTGTGAGACACAATCGGAAGTGGGTGCTGACGTAATTAAAAGTGGTGGATACTGTGTAAAGTTACAGAAATTAATGGTGAGGAATTGTTGATTGTATTTGTTTTCCTCCCTCTCTTCAGGTATTTCCCAGCCAAGATCCCCTGGACAGAGCAGATTTCAACGCTGTGGAGTATATTAATACTCTCTTTCCAACTGAGCAAGTAAGTAGTGCTTGCAGTACAGCCCTCTCAGTGCAAGGGATAGCCTGATAGTAAGGGACTGCAGGCATGTTTAAACCTGTATCCACGCCTTTTCTTTTGAACAGTAGCACAGGTAGTAAGACAAGAACAATAATCGCTTCTTACATTCGCATCTCACAAGGTTCACTGTCATTGTGTGGTTTCTTTCCACCCAGAGCGCTTGCTGCATTGAAAGTCCTGCTTTGATCTGTAGCGATAAATTAGTTTTCTAGACAGAGGTATCTCTTTCATTAAATTTCATAATTTTCCATGTATTAATCACTGGTGAATACTCAGGGGTTTTAGTCAAATAAGGCAGGTGTTGCCTGTGAAGTGTCACTGGAGTCATCCATGTTTAAAACCTGTTCCTTCTTTTGAGATTTAAAGAATGAGGTTGCCATGGGCTCATATCTGTATTTTGTCTTCCCCAAATGAACCCCAGGGGCAGCTTTGGACTAAGCTATTGCAAAAAGGAGGTGTTTGTGCAGCTGAAGATTGGGTTGTGAGGCAGCTCCAGCATTCACCGTGTTTAAGATCCTCTGCAGCACAGGCTTTTTTGGCTGTCAGCTGTTCCCAGTCAGTTTTCTGGTGGTGCTGGCTTGGCTTTTTTCCCTTTGCCAGTAGTGGGGAGCTGTTTCCCCTGAAATACCCCCACTACAGCCCGGGCAGCAGCCAGGCCTCCTCCACCCCTTGTGTGGGTGTCCAGGCTCTGCGGGAGGGTCTCTGTCCCACTGCCGGTCACTGTCACCTCAGCGTTTTGGAGCTGACCAGGCAGGGCTTAGGGCTGGGTGGAAGCGGGGAGCTGCTGGGACCTGCACAGCTGTACCGTGGCCTGCCCCAGCTTTTGCTGCTCTTCGTTACGTGACCTGAGGAGCAGCGAAGCTGCCGTGTGTCTCAGTTCCTCCATCTGTAACACAAAGTCGTGGCTCTCCGCTCTGTAAGGCGCCAGGAAGGAGAGAGTGTTCGGTATCACAGCTGATGTCTATCGCAGTGAAAGGCTCCCCATTTCACTTCTCTCTGTTTTTTTCATGTTGTAGTCTTTGGCAAACATCGATGAAGTTGTGAACAAAATCAGATTGAAAATAAGGTAAATGTTTCTCCATGTCATTGCATCTTGGGTGGCAAGAAGTCTGGGTGTCACCAAGCCTTCATACATACAGCCTTTGCTCTATCTATAGCTGATAGAAATAATTTGCTGAAAAGGGATTAACAGGGTGAATCTCAAGTCCAATAGTGGGACAGAGACAAAAATGACTCCTTGCACTTATAATTATTTTTTATACTTTGCCCCTATTGTATAATATGTGCCTTTCAGGTTGTTTTAGCTGATAGGTTGCAAAGTAGAGCTTTGAAAATACAATGAGCTGAGAATCAACAAGTACCAAATTTTAGTACAGACCAAAGGCTGAGAGAACAAACTGCCCGAAAGACTTGGTGGCTGAAAATTAATTCTGTTTGTGAGGTCAAAATAACAATTGCAAAACATCTCATTTTGTATTTTTTTTGATTGTCATTATTGGTACTGAAAATACAAAATAAATGTCCGTGTGCAGGAAATACTGAAATTTGCTGTGCAGTCTGGCATTACTGACCTGAAATGACTGAGACAGCCCTTTGTTATGTGGAAAGTCGGAATGAAAACGGACAAGGGAAAACTGACAGTATTGCTTAAGGGAAGAGAAATGCAAGAAGCCCTGATTAAATTAGGAAATGGATTTTTATTTTTGCAACAGGACTTTTAAATTATGCAAGATAGCGATGTCCTGCGGGTTGGGGGGGGGAAGTGAGTTTAGCGTCGGTAACACCAGCTTTTTTATTTTAGATCTGTTCTGTGGCTCTCAAGGTTCCCACAATTGTTTGGGTCAGGCACACAGAGAATGAGTTTGACATTGTAGATTCTTTTCTCCAGGAGGCTGGATGACAGCATTCGAACTGTAGTGCGCGGGCAGACCAACGTGGGACAGGATGGCAGGCAGGTACGTGCGTCTCGTCCCCGGCAAGGCCGAGGGTTCTCATCTTGTGATGCTGAATTGCGGAGTGGCTCTGGCAGGCAGAAACCCGCTCTCGTTGTTAGGGAGGTGTTTCTGCTGTCTCTCACACTAACGACGTGGCGAGCTGCTCGCTGAACAGTTGTTCTGGCCTGCTTTCCTTTTCCAAAGGGAGGCGGGTGAGACATTGATTTAAAACTCAGAAGCAAAACCAGGAGGCTTGCAGTTGTGCCACTCTGAAGCTAATGATAAAATGAACAGGATTAAATAGGTACAAGCACATTTGCTGCCTCGTGAGGATCAATAAAAGGCTATTTAGCCTTTTAACTAGGCTGTTTGCTGAAGGATCCCGAGTCGCTAGTGACTAAGCCTGGTGACTGACTGCCAGTCCATCTTGCACGTCTCCTTCAGCTGCCAGGTTTTCACTTGTCTTTTGCTTGACAGATGTGTTTGCTCGGGGTATTGAAGAGGCCGGCCGTGGCTGCCGTGTTTGCGAACACTTGGTCCGCGTGTTATCTGATTTTGAGGGATCACCCCATGCTGCTGTGTCTCCCGTGTCTGTTCTGCTTCAGACCAGGAGCATGAATGCCTTGAGCCGTCAGTCATGCTGCTTTCCTCAGTGTCAGCACTGACTCATTTTCTTAACGCCAGATTTAAGACTGGTTTGCTGGGATGGGGTGGTCCTTCCCTCACCAGCGTGGCTGCCTGTGTTTTCCACTTCTTGCTGCAGTAGCCGTTGGCGTACATTTCTAATCCTACCTCTGCCACAGAGTCCGTGGCCTTGAGTGAATTATTTACCTTATCTCTGCCTTTGTATTGCTTTCAAAAAATGTGAGATGCTTGCTTCTAGCAGAACTAGTTTCATGCTTGCATGATTGCCTGAGTACTGCTGTTAAACCGGGGATGTGCTTGGGGTGTGGCGTACCAGGGAGTGGTGCTGCCTGTAATTGCTGTGCAGGGATGAGAAGAGAAATCAAGGGATGGGGGGGCAATTATGGAAACTGAGGAACTGGGTGGAAACTAGACCACCACTCGGAGAGTTTGGATATGATCGCAAAGCTAGTGCTGTTGTAGCCTTTTGGGCCCATTCGAGGTGACAAATTCAGAGAAGACCACAAAAAGCTGGGATCAAGAAGAGCTGTGGATGAGAATTGCCCGGAGTGCCACGGGACTTGTGGGTCCAAAGGATGAACGTGGTGAGAGACGAACACAAGCAGTGCCGTGGTCAGCTGTGCTTGCAGGGCAGCAACAGAGTCTCTGCGCTACAGAGATCTGGCAAGCTTTGGAGTTTTGCATCATGTCTGTGCTTTCTCGCTCTTTAATCCCTTTGAAGCTCTCCAAAGCACGTAGAGATGGACTTGAACAGCATCCTGCGCTGAAGTGCTGGGGGGGCAGCTCTCTGTGCCGCCCTTCGTTTAGTTTGGTTGGAAAGGAACCGATTAAACTCCTGTCCAAGTAAAAACCTTCAAACACGCACGTGTATGTGGGTGTCTGTGCAGGGCATCTTTCAAGTGGCCTGGAGCTGTGGTTAATCACAATTATTCCTGTATTTAGCTGTGAGTTTTCCCATTTTTCCCTCGCTTCACTGCTTTGCAAGGTAGAAGCAGAGTTTAAGACAGACACCAGCGCTTGTGGTTGCAGGGACTGCATGGGCTGAGGCCAGACCACCTCCCAGAAGCGTGACAGTTCGTTCTTGTGTTAAGAGATCCTAACAAATACTGAAACCATTCAATTATTGAAAGTGTTAGTTCTCTGGTGAGAAAAATTGTTTGAATCTGAAATGCTGCAAGCTTTTTCCTTCTGCATTTCTAATCCAAGTCCTCCATTTCACACTTGTACATGCATTTCACATGTGAGTTGCTGGAACCAGACTGTTAATGGCAGGACTCGCCTGGGCCTTGGAGTTTAAAGCGGTAATGGAGCGACAGCGCGCTCAAGCCTTGCGTGTTAGCTGGCCAGAGGGACCCGCCGCGGAGGAGGTCACCTTACAGTGCTGGGGAATGCATGAATTGTGTTTCAGTTTGAGGTGAAATTTTATATTTGTCTCCCCAGAACCAAACTGAGGAAACCTAAAAGAAACATTTGCTGTCCTGTCCCCCCCTGCGACGCGTTCTCCGGGTAGTGCGTGCTGTGTGCTGGCTGGGGAGCAAGGCTGCCTTTCTCACATGGGCACCCTGTTGATACCCGGGTGTGGGGGTGAAAACCTCGCTTTTCAGCTTCAGCCGCCTGCTCCTGTGCTGAAGAGTGCCTTTGTTTTACCAGCGTATTCTCAGTGGAATCAAGGACGCTTGTGGAGTTTTTATAGAGCAAGAGGCCTGGCTTCTCCCACTTGGAGAGGAGGGGTTTCATTTGCTAAAGTCTGGTAAGAAACTGTTCTGAAAAAACTGAAAGCAAGGTGCCTTTGAGACAAGTCAGCGCTCTGCTAGGAAGGGAGTCAGTGCTACTGAAAGGAGCTTTCTCATTATTTACCTTCCATGGATACTTGTCTCATTAATTTGTCTAATCCCTGTCAATTCCCTGGTAGTAGTTTGGTCCCACGATAAAATCAGGTTCTTTCTTCTACTGATCTTCTATTCTTAGTAAATTTGTAGGAAATTTGTATCCTCAGGACCAGTATTTCCCTGCAAAATTTGATTGAAGCATATGCGTGGAGAGTGTCATCCTGTCAACTTCTCCGTTAGGAAGCCCAGGATGAAGACCGTTACTGCATTTTATCAGAGTAACCACAACTGCAAACCACCCTGGATTAATAAAGAAACAGTTGGAAACCGACTTTTGCAATGGGTTTGAAACAAATCTTAAAACCAGCCACAGCAAAAAGTTTAATCTTCAGATACCTTTTCCCATTTCTGTTGCTTTTTCTTAGCGTAGGAGGTGTCTGCAGCCTGTAGTGCGCAGTCCTTGCAATAGAGTAGCTTTGGAAAAAGCTCATCCTGCCTTTTGACTTCCTTCCATCCCTTGACACACTGAGACCCGAGAGAAACGATGCGATCTGTTGTGTCCTTGAAAGAGTGCGCTGTAAATAAAACCACATACGAACTCTGATGTTGTAGCTGCTTGAATTTCAGTGGGAGCTCAGGATCCTCTGTATTTATTGCAAGAATGGACCTGGAAGGTGTTTTGCAAAAGCCACTTCCCTTCAGTCACGTTCTCCCCTAACAACTTGTGATACAAACTCGAATCAGCGTGTGCCAGAACTGCCTGACTGCGTGGTGTCGGAGCTAGAGGAGTTGTCCTTGTCTGGAGAGTAAAGAGTCGTTTCCATAAACATCCTGCCAATCTCTGACTTCCTTACAAAGGCAACATAAACCTCTGACGCAGTGGGGGAAGGATAGAAGAGCTCTTGCTGCAGTCAAGGGGGTTCCCTGCTGAGCCCCTGCTCTCCGTTGTCCTCGGTAGCTGTGCCGTGCCTGCCCTGGGTTCCCGCGGAGGCCGGGCTGCGCGCGCGAGCGGCTGCCATCCCCGCTGCCCTTGTGACCCTGTGCCGAGGGTGCAGAAGCTGGCTCACGAAGCTGGTCTTTGCCTCTTCCATCTCCCGTCAGCCCGAACTGCCCAACAAGGGGTTGGGAATCTCTTGTAGGCTCTTGGGGGCCTGCCATCAGCTCATCTTTTTTTTTATT